TAAATATATGAATATATATATTTACACTGCAATAATAATAATAATTATAGCATAAAGCAAATATCTTAAAAATATATTACTCATCATTCCCTAAGTTTCCCTTCACCATGATTTTCATCATCATTTTCATCATCATCATGAGCTGGTAACATTATCAACTTCATCAATCTTTATTATCCTAATAACTTTTATCATCATCATCATCATCATCATCATCATAACATCATCACAATAAAATGGCAGCTAAATGGTTCTACATATATACACTTGTGTCTATAATTATTTTCATTTTCCCCTCCAGCTACTTCGAATGGGGGTGGTAAGACGGCTTCAAAGAGCAAACTAAGTCGATCGAGGTCCAGAAAGTTCAGCCGAGATGTACTGCTTCATTTGTCGCGTCAATACCAACAAAGCAGTAACCCAACAAAGACCACAGCCAGACGGTCCGTCAAACGATCACGGGTGAGTTATGCAAGATGGAGGTCATATATAATCTGCGAATCTCCTCTCCTCTCCTCTCCCCTCCCCCGATGAACGCAGGAAAACGCTCATTGCACAGGAAGCAAGGGTTGCCTACGCTGCTAATGCGTCGCCTCTCACCAATGCGACCCGGAACCCTATCGGGTTGGTATCGTACATGAGTAGAGTTTTTTGTTGGTTCTCTCCTGTGCTTCGAGCGTTTTTCTCCGGGATCTCCGGTTTTCCTCCCTCCACACACACACACACACACACACACACACACACACACACACACACACACAAAATTTCGAAACTCTAATTCGATATAGACATTCTCGATAGGTTTAACCTCTTATATCTCCTTTTGCACTTTATTTCCAAATGAGATTGGTTGTTATATTATTCATGGTTCCGACTCCCCCTAGCTACTGTTGCTATGACCCACAATCCCATAGAATTAGCTAGAATATCCCAGCATTTACAACTCTGATCACGGAAAGTTAATTATAAATTGTTATATGACGGTTATATTGTTTACTGTCGTGTTAACATAAAATCAAATTCCTCGTAATCCTTGTAGTACTCTTTAAAAAAGATCCTGAGTGTTTGTTTGTGGGACAATATTTCAATTCCACTGAGAAAGCTGCTGCCAAGGCAATTGGTTCGCTATTGTCTGGATGGAACTATGGATTATTGCTTTGGCAGCAGCGTATGAACCAATAGAACTGAAGCACAAGTCCCTTGTAAACGTATCGTAATTCGTCCTGACTTCCCTTTCCTTTTGTTTCTTCACAGTCATTTTCGTTCACATCTGAAAGACTTCCACAATACAAAAGAGAATCCACCAAGAAATCCAAGTTCCTTTTCCTTCACTACAGCAACGAGAAGGGCCTTTGGGACTGGTGGGTGTTGGTGCTAACGTTCTACATCGCCATAATGGTTCCGTACAACGTCGCCTTCAGCCGGCACGGCAAGACGAAAGACCTCATCATTGTCGACATGGTTATCGAACTGTTTTTTATTCTTGACATAGTAGTTCATTTTCGTACGACTTTCGTCGATAACGCTGGTCGGATAGTGTACGACCAAAAGGCTATAGCCATTCACTACCTCAAGGGATGGTTCGTATTGGATTTTTTGGCAGCTTTGCCGTTCGAAGCTCTGTACTTCGTCAACCAATCATGGGTGAGCATGAGAATATATGATATTAATTATATCACGTGACGAATGACAACATAATGCATGATTGTGGAAGTCAATCAAAACTTTGCTCGCAAAAATAAAGACAATAGTTCTGATTGATTTTTCAGATGAGATGTATGTCCTGTTAGTTGCGAGTGGTCGAATAATAAATATAATACTAATAATATAATATAATACTAATAATAACCTTAATATGATAATAACTATACAACTCTATCGGGTCTAAAAAAATTTTTTTAAAAAAAAAAATTTTTTTTTTTAAAAAAATTTTTTTAAAAATTAATCAATTATTCAAAAATATAAAAAAGGAAACAAAAAAATTTGTCTTAAATAATCTCTACGTAAAAACCTAAGACTAAGCACGCACAGCTAAAAGTTAATAATATAACAGTAAAACGTTAAAAATCCTTCCAGTTAAGAGTATATATCTTATAGAGTCAATTTCATGCTCTTCAAAACAATTTACTTCTCGATGCATCCTTGGACACATTCATCCGTGCATATATATATTCCATACATGGCTTGGTAGTATGGGAATAACAATGCATAAGAATACACAAGAATCCATAAGAATACATCATTACGTTCGTGCATCCATGATTCATACATAGTTGAGGTTTGCTCGTGTAACATGGTGCACAGTTACGATTATTAACGACATTTTGTTGCGGCAACATGTTGCAGGTATTTCAACGACCTTCAAAACTAGAAACATTGTTGCCATCGATTTGTGTTGCCGCGCGCTGCCCATAATAAATGTAATTGGCGGTAGCCAAAACCCTAAAAGACTCCAAACGTCGTGTCGGTTAGATAGAAAAATATTTCTGAAACGGGCTGTAAAGAGTCTGAGATTCTCTTAACGTATATTAATCATTATATTAAAGAAAAAAACTGAAACTTGCAATAGACCCGTTTCGAATTCCAAATTACCGCTGTATTTCTTGATTACAGACTCATTTGCACAGGGCTAGCCTTGAGTTTGTGCAGAATATTCACGTGTTCCAGTCAAGGTCCGTCGAGTTTCAAAGTGTTTGTATTGTTGAAGTTGTGCATTCTTTACTTTACCGTTGGTATTTGTGAATATTTAAACACTGATACGAGGCTAACCCTGTGCAAATGAGCCTGTAATCAAGGAACACAGCGGTAATTTGGAATTCGAAACTGGTCTATTGCATCAAATAACTATAAATCAGAATAGCTAGTACTAAACGCTGTAAACCTGCTAATCTTTTTTATCTATTTTGAACGGCTATAAATCCTAAACAAGCTAACCTGCATAAGAAAAGAAGTGCTAAATGCTAAACTAAGTTCTAAAATTACGCACCGTAATGACTAAAGAATCAAGAATAACCAATGTAACATTTGTTCACCTTCATGTCAGTATTAAGTTGTTTTAACGCTTGGACCGTTTTGTTGTGTCCTGCCCTCGACATGTCTTCGTGTTGCAGTGTGAGTACGTCGCGTCTTGCATTATTGCAATTGCTTACTGAGTGAATGATCAATGTCTGAACAAGTGTTTGCTTTAATGCTCTGTGAGTAACGTCATCGATATATCGTCGTGTTGCCGTATATACGTCTTTTATTGTTGCAATCGCTTACTGAGTGAATGATCAATGTCTGGAAAACTGCTTGTTTTAATGCCCCGAGAGTAAACCTTAGAAGCTCGTCGTGTTCATGTGTTGCAGTGTGGAACCCGCTGTTTTCTGAAAATCCATCGTTGGAGGTATACATGATCCTTCACTAACTGAAATGATTCTTTCTCACAATCTAGGCAGGTTCAGCTTTTGATAGAAAGGGTTCTGCGTTCAAAGAGGTACTACAATATATATCAAATGTTTAAGCATTAACTTCCCTCCAAAATAGGACATTAAAAAGTTTAAAAATGAAATCAAAATGTCAAGGTTAATTTGTATTCCTCCCTCCGCGAAAACAAAACGCTAAATTTCAATTCGATTCGCGAGTTAGTCGTGCCCTGACTTGGACCAGACGAGAGGTTGTTTTAGGGTTCGATCTGTGACGTAGCCATGCCCTGACTTTGATTAGCCCAGAGGTTGTTTCAGAGTATACTGGTATATTGATAGAAATTAAAACGGGCCTTTTTTGGTGGTCGATGAGTATATGGCTATTGGAGCCTGAGATGCATATCAAGTTCACATGTCACACAAGATTGAACGTACCTTCCACTGATCAACCCCATCTTTCTTCGTTACTCAAACATAACACTACTTGCACTACATTCGAAGTCTTAGCATTTGTTAAAAAACATCTGCACTAAACCACTAAAAAATCAAAATTCTGAACCAAATATTGCACCCGTTCATAAAAAGAGTAAGACTAGTAAAGTTTATCACATTTCTATTACTGATGGGTTATTAAAAGTAGCGGAAAAATTTAAGCAAAACTGGGCAGGGCTTGTAAAAGGGACTTTTGAAAGTAACTGAAGAGCATTTGCATTTCTTAGGGTTTTCTAGTTCAACTTTTAAAATGTGGCCGTCTTCTTCGTCTATTCCGCGTGGTTCGCAAGCTGCATCGCTACACCGAGTACAGCACTGTTCTTCTTACTCTTCTTATGTTGGCCTTCGCCATGGTCGCTCATTGGTTGGCCTGCGTGTGGTATGTTATTGGTCTAGAGGAGGTCACCGAGAAATCAACAATAAGCTGGTTGTACCAGTTTGGAGAGACAATCGAAAGACCCTTTGTTAACTTTTCGCTTGAAAGTGGTCCTGACGAAGGATCGGCTTATGTCACTTCGTTGTACTTCACATTGACCAGTATGACTACGGTGGGATTTGGTAATGTGTCTGCTAATACTAATGCAGAAAAGGCATTTGCAGTCATCGTGATGCTCATTGGTGGTGAGTATTGTACCTGATAAAACCCCTATAAATTCTTCGATTGAACGTTACGTCATCGCGGCCTTTCGGGGCCGGAGCGTTGGTGTTCTAATTAGCATCCACTGTTAACGGCACCAAAATGCCCGCCATGGTTTTGTCTTTTTACTCCCTTGGGAATGCTTGCAACCCATCAATCTTAAGTCTGGTTCACAAAATAGCTCTTTAATTGAAGAAATAGAAAACGCACACGTGTGCTGTGTGCAGTTATAAAGCACGCGGGGGCCTTGGCAGAAAACGAGAGAAGTGTTAGGAGAAGCACGACGCGCTGTGTTCTACCAATCCCCAAGTGCTTTATAACTTCACACAGCACAGCAAGCAAGTTTTTTATTTCTTTTATAAAATACAAATTACTTGGATGACGATACTGAAAGTGCGCGCGCGTGCTGTGTGCTATCATAAAGGACGCGCTCCAACCAATCAGAACGCGAGATTTAGAACAGTTAATTAATTATAAGGCGTAATGTTTTCCCATATCAGATCACGCCGTGTCATTCTCTTGAGAGTAAGGTATCCATATTCATGTTTCTTTTCATGTACAACCGTAAAACAAAACAAAAAAAAGCCACTATAGGGAATGAACCGTGGTGAAATGTGAAAACGTACGTAGAAGCTAAAAGTCTATTGCAACACAAGAATACTGAAGCGCTAGACGCGGCTGTGAGTTATTGTTCATTAGCTCATCGCATCTCTAAGAGAAGAGCTACACTTTGCTCTGCGTATGCTTACAATATTGCTGTCGTTATATCTTTGTTGACGTGTTATCTTTGTTGATGCTGTTACGTCGAGTCGTTACCTATGTTATTCACAAATATTTATTTTCCAACGTTGTTTCAGCTCTTATGCACGCAGCAATATTTGGGAATGTTGCAGCAATCATCCAGAAGTTATACGCAAACAGAGTTCGCTACCATTCTCGAGCCAACGAAATCAAACAGTTTATTCGGGTACATCATATCGACACTGATTTGTCAAATCGTTTGGAAGACTATTTTCATACCACGTGGTCAATCTCAGGGGGCGTGGACACGAGGGAGGTGAGTAATAGCTGAATTTCACTTCACGGCAGTTCCTATCTCGTCCGGGAATGTTCATCAGCTGAATCACAAATTTTGTATAGACTTCTTTCTGGATGACAGCACATGGTGTTTGATCACCATTTGGAGCAGATAAAAATATTTGAAGACTTTTATCAGCTGATTTAAACCCGGTAAAATACCATGATTTGACATTGACTAGTAGAGCAGTTATTTGCCCGAAGACGTGACAGGCAAAATAATTACTAACGAGAGACGACAAGCTGAGTCCAGTACTTGTTTTATAATTGTCCATTTTTTTGTGTTTACGCTTTTTTCCTTTGACAATTCTCTTATTTTCTTCTCCAAAAAATCGAGCAGCCATGTTTCATGGATCAGATCGTTAACGCATGCTCAAACCGCACTTCGTGTGCTCAGATCATGGTACGCAGTTATTTGAAGCTGGAGCAACCAAGGGATCCATTTGATTCGAATTGGAAAATGGCAGCTTTTTCACAGCACTCCATGTTGGCGAGAACACTGTATATTCTATTTGTTACCGGTTTTAGCAAGCATACCATTTGTTTACGGCTGTTGTCCTATTAAGTGCAAATAAAAACCAACCACCATCTTATCGTTTTAGATCCTTGCCACCTTCCCAACAGAGATCCAATCAGATGTCTGTATGCATCTTTACAAGGGATTGCTAGAACTGCCATTGTTCAGTCAGGCGCCAAGGGGTCTAGTACGTATGTTATCGCTGCAGGTTCGGCCGGTTTACGTTGGACCAGGAGAATACCTGTTGATGCGAAATGACGTTGTAAACTGTATTTATTACATAGCAAGTGGATCCATGGAGGTCCTACAAGGAGAATCAGTGGCAGCTATATTAGGTCAGTCTGTCAGTCGGTCAGTATGTTTGAGGGGCAGATTTAGGATGTTTAGGGGATGAGAAGGGATCTAACCCAGAAACAATTATCAAATTTATTTTTCTCCAGTATGTTATTTCTTACATTTGCGAGAGGCTTATCCTGGGCAAGAACGGGGTTTCACAAGAAGCCAAAGAACCTTCCCTAGATCCGACTTATCGATGGCCTAGAGAGTGAGAGAGTTATCTTTAATTCTATGTACTTATTGACTGAGTGGGAGGGCCGTACGGGAAAATATTTGGCTCGAGGTCATGTCGTACGGACCGAGCGCAGCGAGGTCCGTACAAATGACCTCGAGCCAAATATTTTCCCGTACGGCCCGACCTAACTCAGTCAATAAGCATTTTATCATATGACCCTCATAAAAAAAAAAAAAAAAAAAAGAAAAAGAAAGCGCGCGGATTCGAGCAGGGCCGGACGGGTTTTTCCGGCCCGCTTACGTCAACCCGTCCGGCCCCCATCACGTGACTTTTTTCCAATGGTTTTATTAGAGCGCGCGAGCAGGGCCGTACGGGTCATATGATAAAGGCAATTATCTTCTTCAACTTCAGGTAAAGGTGATTTATTTGGTGAAGATATTTCCAGGAAGATCCCCATAAGAAGATCTAATGGTGATGTCAGAGCATTGACATATTGCGATATCTACTATATAACACGTGATCTGCTCCAAGAAGTCTTGCATTTGTACCCTGACTTTTCGTACAAATTTGCAGAGAAACTGGAGCTTACTTATGACCTCGGTGCGAGTGAGGTAAGCAACATTATGTTTATACTACCAACCAGCCCAATTCTTTATTCATTTAATTTTGCCCGTTTACAAAGGAAATAAATTTCGTAGGAAGTTTAAAATTGGGGTTCTACCAACTGTTAATTCCGCCAATTACTGTTCGCCATTATCATGGAATAGGAGGAGCTAATGCGTAATGCTTTCCAATTTCATACCATGTGTCATCCCTTAGATTATCATTTCTATTTTTACCACTGTTTTCTTTCAGTGCTTTATTTCAACTTTATTTGAGTGTCAGATTATAGAGGCTTTGCATCGTCACGTGATGGCAGCCATGACAGGGGGGATAACAACGGAGTCTTTTCCCCCTGGAAAACTGAATCCTTTCTAATGATATGTAAATCAGATTAGTCCAGAACCAATTGCTCCTGCCTCCTGCCATGGCTGCCATCACATGATGGTGCAAAGTCTCTATAGCAATGCATAAGTATTACACTAATGGAAGACACTCACTATTGCACATTATCCTGTCTCCACATTTTTTGTCTCGATCAGTTCATAACAACGAAACAAGTCGTAAATGTTGCGCACAAGAAGACAATTAGATAACGATACAACTCAAAGGAAGAATCTTCTCAAGAGATTGGAAAGTGGTCTTAGACGGCTCTGGAGACGACATTCCCAAAACTAACGTACAAATGTCGCAGTTTCCCGTCACCAAAGTTAAATAATTATTAATTTTAAATTTGTTTTATTGGTTGTTCTTTTAGCGTGATATCTGGCGACGAGGTGGTCTTGATTCCATATCAGAAGATGAAGAAGAAGAAGAAAATGAAGAGGAAACAAGTGATTCTCCAGAAACAGGATCTGATGCCAATAACATGGCCAGTAAATTTCCAGTTAGGAACCGTTTTACAAAACGCCTCAATCCCTTTAGCCCCAATGAATCATGGCGGATGTACTCCAGGCCACAATTTCAAAGACATAATCGCTTTGGTTTGAACGAAAACCAACCATTGCTCAATCCTCCACAAGACAATTTAGTACCAATAAGCGGAATTAAAATTTTACAACCATCAAAAAGGCAAATCTCTTTTGATACCAAAACTATGGAGCAGAAAGATTCAGAAATGTGTGAGGAGGCTGTTGAATGTGATACAAACCTCGAATGGGAGCAGGAAACGTTTACTCTTAAGGAGGAGAAAGAAGATGAGGAGGAGAATGATGAACTTGTGGACACACAATCCAACAACCATGAGCTTGCTTCATTAAGAAACAGTGTCGAAAGTCATGCTAGTATCACAGATGACGATTACGAAGACTGCGATCGCCATAATGGACCAGAGACGAGCTACAGACTTGCGAAAGAATCATTCTTGAAGCACTTGAGGTTAGGTACAGAAGACCACGACCACGATGAAGAGATGAGTTATTATCCACAAAATTCCATCAACAGATCCGAACATGAAGATGAACCATACAGAAAAAGTGTGGAAAATTACGACGATGACCAAACATACAACGATCGAGAAGACCTCATAGGATTCACTGAGTTTGCAACACCAAACCGCACCCCATGTTCAAGCCGTCAACTAACGCGTTCACCTATGCTCGTCAGTCCAACACATAGTTTGAATTTCAGACGTTCTTCTAAATCTCAAACTGCACGTAATAAATTGCGCAGAGATCATTCGGACTCAGCTTTACTTAGAAGCCCAACAGAGGGATCGAGAAAAGAATTTGATCAAAAGTTGCCAAGATTTTACTCTGGAGACCATGAGAGACAAGCGAAGTATGTTCGTAGCAGCGAGGCGTTGCGTGCCAAACCGATGAACGAGTGCTCTACGTCTCCGAAGCAAAGTATTCATCATGATGACAATTCACGGCATAGCTTGTGCCCCTCTTCAACACTAGACAGTCCCTATGTAAGCATTAAACGATTGTTTGCGTTAACACCTCCCCCACGGGACGACTTTGTTGAGTACCCTTCAAACGAGGACGTGATGTGCTACGGTGCTCCAAGCCGGTCTGAGAGTCCATCGAGATTTAGTGATTCAGGTAGGAGCCCTAGAAATTCCTTGCGACGAAATATGACATCTAGTTTTACTTCTCCCGCGAGCTCCTGTGGAGGGCTTAATGAGGAGAAGGATAGACGACCATCATCAAGGCGAAGAAAAATGTCGACGGCAAACGCTCCACCGCCATTAATATTTGCTAGTTTAGTAGCACAGGCTTGTAAAAGTCCATATGCAGACTTTGTGCCACCTAAGATTGTACGGGAATCTACCATCACCTGTAACTGTGAAGAGGAAGAAAGCTGCGAAGCATGTGGCGATAAGGATTCCGTTGGTGGGACTCCGAACGGTAATCTAAGCAGCAATGAAGAATTAAGAGATGGCTATGAGTCTTGTGTTATGGAAGATGTTGGTCGCCGTAGAAAATCTGGCGAAAGGCTGGAACTTTCGTCTACTGGAAAAGAATGCTCTCCTGATTTTGTTGTGAACATGAATGCAAAACATGAAGAGTTGAATTCTCAGACGTGCGACGTTCAAAATTCGATTCCTATAGAAACAACCGATAGAGTAAATTACCAAAAAGATAATGTCACACCAAGTTATGAGAGAAGAAAGCGACCCCTCTTCACGAGAGATGCTGCAGTGTATTCTTCGTCATCACAAGTAGATGAATTGGAGTCGCTCAACACCCCGATAGACTCCCCTTGTCTACTCAAAAAGATGTTCCACACAGAAAGTGAATGTTCTACAAAAGAAAAAGATGAGTACAATGTCGGTGATTGTGCAACGGGTTCACAGTATGGGGAACCAAGATTATCTCTTGGTTACGATCAACGCTTAGATAAGAACAGTGAGGGTACTTTCCCAACTGCTTTTAAATCGGAAGAAGCTACCGATATTCCTCCATTTTTCGATGAGGTTTTTGGTAAGGACAAGAAAAACGTAGGTTCTCTAGGACATTCAAATGCAGATTCTGCTACAAACCGTCTTCACATAGGCACAAATAGTCACAGCCCTTCTTCGATGTCTTCTCTTTCCTCTCCACTATCACAATCTGCCGGAATACACACTTCTGCCACGGATCTGAGTCATTGCGAGAGCAGCAACTCAAACCTAGATATTCATTTTCCAGAGCATTACTCTGAATCAGAACGTTCTTATCATACACGAAAACCTACAATTTCTGGAATACACTCAACTCACTCACTCGAAGGAGTTCCTAATCCTAGGCGACCTGCAGACTTGAATGTTAGAACGATGAGAAATAGTTATTCTGAACCGCACTTACAGTCTCCAATTAGAATTTTTCCAAGACTGGAAAACCTTGATGATGGAGACATGTTGAGCGACTTACAGCTAGAAGACATCTTCAAAGATGTTGTCAACACTAAACAAGCTATGGAGCGCTTACAAATGATTCTCTCGTCTCCTGAGCCGACTATGAGCTCAGACTTAGCAGATACAAAGGAAACTGTAAAACGACTAGATCAACAGGTTCTGCACTTAAACCAAGACCTGGCCTCCCTCAGAGGAGATGTAAAGATGGTATTAGAATTGTTAAAAGGCCTCAAAAATGGCCAAACAGTTCACCCTTGATGTGTGTTTTACAATCATTTCCAAGAAAATGAAATAATAATTATAGTAGCCATGTTTACTGAGAAATTGTGTTTCAAATTCAACCAACATGGTGGCTATGAAAACTAGCAATAAACTAGTTATAACAGACTAAATGATATAAATGGCCGCCATGCTGGCTGACATAACAAAAGACTTCTGGCAAATCTTTTGCCATGTTCAACCAATATGGCAGCTGTGAAAACACAATTAATCCTGAAAATTTTCAAATGTTATTTAAACAATTCAATACTTTATATACGAAATTTGATAAAATCCCATATCATTTACAAATTATTAAAACGTTTATAATTGCTAAAGCTAAGGTTCTAAGAAACATTCTAACAGTTATGTTCATGTCTTCAAAATACGTGTCTTCAAGATACATACCGGCTGGAATGTTAAGATTAATCTAAAAAAGTCTATTTAAGGTATCTCGTATATTAATTGGCAGAACACGGCAACTGGATATTGAATTCAGAACAGAAGAAGAGGCGGCATGAAGCAAGAATCTGTATCAAATTTCAGTGTTAGAATGGAACAATTCCTCTTCTACTGCTGTGAGACTTGACTGCAGCCTCGTTTGTACAGGTCTTCCGTATTGTAAACAATGTGCAACTTGAACACTACTATTCCTTTGAAATTCCACAGACTTTAAATTTTAATCAATTTCTATGAATAGCTAGCTTATAAAAGAGGCTAAAACTGTACAAATGAGTCTTTGGTCTTCAAAAGCAGTAGTTAAGAATAGTAAAAGCACATCGCTTACGAAAACACTTGATTCTCCGTCGATCACACTGATGACGTTGCAAAAGTTGCGACAGGCTCGAATTTAACGGGGAGCTCTATTCTGAGATTTAACTGTTGAGCAGTTAGAATGACTTGGAAATTAAACAAAACTTCTGTACAAATTATGGCAAGAATATGTTGAAGTCGCGACGCATGCTTAATTGACGCATGCTTAATTGACGCTCAAATCAACCAAAGGACAAATTACATCCTGTATTTTTACTATTTTCAAAAGTTTGACAAGTGCGGCTAAGTAAATGAGCTTTTAACAAGAGATCGATAGCTGGAACTTGAGCGATCTCACACACTTGTTTTGACTTTCTACTAACAACATCTTCTTTTGGTTAAGGGAAATTTGGCTCAAACGTTTAGGATCTTTACATAATAAAAACCCCGGAATCGCCTCAGTTTAAAGCCCTAGCCCTAACCCTGGATAGACCGATGACTAGAACGCGTTTACTTGGAGACGAAAACCACATGAAAAAAGAAGCCGTTTCTAGTAGAATGCTCACAACTTATATGTGAAACAGTGCTAAATATATTTTGAACTAAATAGTACAAAATAGTGCGTCGCAAAGTTTAGAGTGATTTTCCACAGACCGCATTTGAAACAGTTCTTGTTCTAGTGGTTAGTGAATAACAGTCAAATAGACACAAAAGAAAACTGGTATTAAGTCAGACCTACTATTTTTATTATTCTACTAATTATTTCACGTGAGGGTGTGAGGAAAACCACTCTGATTGTTTTCTATTGTTTCGTCAGTTCTATTTTAGTAATAAATAGTGCTAGTTATGCAGTACCGTTTGGTGTTTTCAAGTTTGCTCTTTTTCTTTTCTTATCTAATTTCAAACCAATTCATACGTAAATAAACGTGCTGCCTTTTTGATACATTTTATATAATATACATTGAAGACACAATGATGATGTGTAAATACAGTCAATTTATTTTGTCATAAAGCTCACATTTCAAACACTATTTGTTGGCCTGCTTGTTTGGTTCAAATTTCTTGACTTACTCTTGGCGGGGAGCATCATTGTTACGTCATTCACAACCTCCATGTCGGTTGACTATATAACCAATCATTTCTTATTTCAGTGCTTTTGGACAAGGGGCTGATATCAGAGGCTGGGGACGTAATAAATTTTCTTGATCTTCAAATATTCCTTATTGCTTTTATTCAAAATCTCAACCGATAAAATAACTTTCAAAGACCGCAAGGGGAAAGAACCACAGCGGTTTTTTGAAAATTCATAATTACCGTTTATTCATAATCTCAACTGGCAAAATGACTTTCAAGGTCCTGCTAAGGGTAAAGGACCACAATGTTCCTTAGGAGGGGGGTGGGGCTTACTAGAGGCTGGGCGATTATTTCGTTTTTGGCGCCTTAGACTGGGGGCTTATTAGAATGGGGCATATTACTGCGATTCCCAGTCACTCGCGACCAACTAGACCTTCAAAAATTTGGGTGGACGTCAATAAAAAGGGTTTTTATAGACCTCCACCTTTTATGTCCTGTAGTATCCTGGATTCCCGGATGAAGCTATTACGTAATCATGTAATCGAGTGTGAGCGTATGTGTGCGAATGTGTGAGCATTAAAGATTGTTATGCAACCACATATTGGACTCTTGTGTCCCTTTAATTAGTAGATCTAATATTCCATTCCATTCCATTTCCTTCCATTTCCTTCCATTTCCTTCCATTTCATTTCATTCCATTTCATTCCATTTCATTTCATTTTTAATTTTATTTTTCTTGTTCAAAGTCATTGCAAGACTTACAACTGTCTGTTTCGTGCTTTCTTAATTATTACATGTATGCGTGCGTATGTATGTATGTAAGTTGTGTGTACGGGTGTGTATAGATACATATATGCGTGTATATGCGTGTGTATATGCCTGTATATAATATAACGTATGCATATGTATATATATATTCTTAGAACTTTTTTAATACTCATATTATTATAATTTATTATATTTATATATAGCTTGAGGGCCACTAGTTTATCAGTTTATAACTGTAAAGTGTTTTTACCCTCTGTAAATAAAGTTATTATATATTATTATTATCATCATCATCATCATCATCATTATTATTATTATGATCATCATTATTATTTCAAAGTTTTTTTAGGGGTGGTCCGTAGACTGGGTCCGTAGAGGGGTCCGTATAGTGGTCCACGGACCGGGGGTCAGCGTTTTCAACTCTACCCCTGTCCGCTGCTGCTTAGCAGGCTGTACACAAAAACATTGCTTGGGCTGCCTGTGTGTACCTGTAGCTAAAAACAATATGGCGGACTGCTCTGAAGATACGTCTGAAGATATTCCAGGAACAACTCCTAATACCGAAGATATTATTATGATGCCAGACAAAAAGAAACATCATCGTTGTAAACCTTTCTTCGGCATTTCTTTTGCCATTCTGTCCTCGTTGACATTGGTCCTGATGAACGTCTTTGCTAAACTTTGTAAACAAATGCCAGTGTTTGAGATTGGAGTTATAAGGTTCTTGATACAACTAGCAATAACAGTCCCATTCTTGATCCACGCAAATGAAAGGATTAGCTTTTCCCCAAAGATAATGGTATTTCTGATTTTGAGAGGATTTACTGGTACTTCTGGGATGCTAACACGACTTTACGCTGTACAGAACATGCCAATAGGCGACGCTACAGTACTGATGTTCACGACTCCCGTGTTTGTCGCCATCTTTGGAAGAATATTCCTGAAAGAACCACTCCAAAGAATCTACATATTTCTTTTAATTATCTGCTTAATTGGAGTTATACTGATTGCAAGACCAATATTTATCTTTGGACATCCAGAGGAAGCTCCTGAGTATGATAATATTTGGTTACCTTCGATTGTTGCTGTGGGTTCTGCAATGACCACTGCGTTGTCCATGATTCTGGTGAGGGTTCTTGGAAGATATTCTCTCACATCTTCAGTCATCATATTCTACTTTGGTTTGGTTGGACTCATTTATTCAATATGTGGTTCATACTTAGACAGAGGATTTCAATTTCCTTCCTGTAAAAGTATCGACTATGTGTTTGCGATTGGTGTGGGTGTTTTTGCATATTTAGTGCAAGCAGCTCTGAATGCTGCTCTGAAATTTGAAAAAGCATTTATAGTTTCGCTTGGTCGCACCTCAGGTATTGTGTTTGGGTTTGTTGTACAAGTATTAGTTTTTTCTCTTGTACCAAGTGGTTTGAGTTTTGGTGGGGCAGCATTGATCACCCTGAGTAATGTTATTATATTCATTTTCAAATGGAGGCAATCTCAACAGCTAGATAAGAAAATTTAAGTCTCAGCTTTTTATAGTTATTAATTCATTTTCTCTTTCTGTCATGATAGAAAGAATAAGATCTCATACATAGCAGTTTGAGTTGCTTGAGAAGTAACATGTAGATCTTATAAGACTATAGAGACTTATAAGTGCTATTTCTTATCTTCCATAAATTAGAGATTCAATAATAAATAATACGATAATAATAATAATAATAATAAGACATTTAGCTGTATTAGTTTCTAAAGCTATTTCTAAATGTCTGTGCTCTCATCAACTGATATACCAAATAAGATAATTTTTGTACTTAATTTACTTTTTTAGGAACAATAAAGTTATTGTTGTTGTTGTTGTTAATAATAATAATAAAAATCAATACAATCATACAATAAATAGATAAAGGATACTAAAAAGTTAATAATAAAACCTAATAATAAATTCAACTCATATTGAATTTGACAGATGGCTCCAACTATGGTTCCTAAATCTATGTTTGGCTCTAATCCATGAAATGGTTTTGTTGTAAAATATTAATAATAATAATAATAATAATAATAATAGTAATAACATTAGCAATAATAATAATTACATTTTTTGATGTAAGAGTACATTTTTTATGTAAGAGCATAGCCTTAGTTTTCAGCAAAAATGGAGGGATGAGGGCAGAATGCCAGATTTTTCTAAAGCACCTTGTTGAGAAGTTAACCAAGAAGACAGGGGACACATATGCAAGTCAGTACACATGTGTGTCAGGGGGACAAGAACCCCTTTTTATAAGGACAATGAATTCTTGAATGACTTTAACCTTAATGCCAATGTAGCCGAAATTCAGAAATATTTCGAATTTAATAATAAATGTATAGTTTTGATATAATATTATATCAGTGTGAAGAGCTGGACTCGTGTTTTGAGCTATTAATTTATTTCAAAATATGTTTTCGTTAATAAATAAGTAATTTGTGCATATATTTGTTATTTTATATTCATAATCTCTTTTTTATTGCTTTATTATTATTATTGTTGTTGTTATTTGAAAGTATTTTTGAATAAATTATTATTTATAATAATAATGATAATAAGATTTATTATAAAAATAATGATATTGAAATAAATACTCAATAATCAGAGATTCCATTAACGACTCTTAAATCTCCAGTGTGAGTGGGCTTTGCCTCGAATCCAGAAGCTGGTTGTTTTGTTATTCTTACTTTGCTTTTGTTTACTGACTTCAAAAATGAGGCTAAGCTTGCATACACTGGAGTTTCGAGAGCCGTCAATAATAGGTCTAAACAGAATGACTTCTAAAATCAGGATAAAGCAGTCAATGGAAATTTTAGTCCATTTTTTTTTCAAATTGCACGAGCATGTAGTCCTTCATTATTACTTGTCAATTCAATTCAAGTTTTTAAATTTTAATTCCAGTGATCAATAGAGAATTGTGAATACAAAGGAAATAAGTGTAATTACATAAATATTAAAAATGTTTGAGTAAAAAAGAAATGTTTCAATATGAAACTGTCCAAGATAATCATGAATTTGGTAATTATTCAAAATACTGGATAGATAAGAAAATAGAAAAATCTGGTTAAAACTGATCTATGAATTGTTGTAAAGTGTTTGCAAGTGTTTGCTAGCTGTAAGCCTTCTTCAGGAATGGTTATGAATTTCAGTTTCACTGCTTTTCGGTCACGGGTCATGAAGCAGTGAGCTTGAATTTATTAATTCATTAACCATTCCTGACGAAGGCTTTTAGCTATAAGCTAAAAATTTGAAAACGCTTTGCAACATAAGTTTTCTGATTTTCCGAAGGCTTACATGTAAAATATCGATTTTTTAAATAGTTCTCTGCCTGTACTGAAATGCACAAAAAATAGAATTGGACAGGCTGTCTTGCTGAATTAGCACTCGACCTATCCTCAATTTAAATCTTTTTAAATCACATGGCTATCCTTCCCCCCCCCCCCCCCCTCTTTTTTTTGTGCATATTATGTAATAACGACTTTGCTAAAGTGAATTTGTATCACAAAATTTCAAAAAAAAAATTAGTCCTGAAAACTTAAAGAAGCTAAAATTCAGTAGCTCAGGACCACATTTTATGTAAATATATTTTATAAAAAACACGTTATTTCTAAACGACTTTCAGATAAAGTCTATGAAAACTCTGAGTTTGAAATAGACCTTATTGTTTTAACATTATTTTTGAACCTCGTGCAAGCTAAAACAACAAAGATTGTTCAGGGAGCTCCGCTTTTATACAGTGCATTAATTTATATATTATAATTAGACACAAACAGACGGAAGTTTTTTTTATATATTCACGTAAAAAGTTAAGAAAAACATGAAATGAGAAATAGAGCTAAAAATTATTATTTCTTCATTCATTCTAAATTCAACAACCGATTTGTCTAGACATATAATTGAAACGTGCTCTAAATATGTACACATTGTTTATCTTACAAAATGGCTTTTACTCCCCTGCATTTTGTCAAATGTGTCTTGTTTCGAAAATTCTAAAAGAGATATATAATTTGCATTCATGAAATTCAGTCAAAGCGTGAAAAATCATGTCTGCAGTTTTTGGCTCCAAATCCATGAACGAACGTTCAAGGTTTTAACTTTTATTAGCGAGAACCGAAGGGTAAGTTAAGCCCGGAATTACTGAAAAAACATTAATTTTGACAATTAAAATTGTTATAAATCAATATTCTCTAGTTAACCTCAATAATTGCTTGCTTCATTTCGAAAGTTCGTATAAAGTTAACTATTTCCTTTCTGAAGTGAAATTGCAACTTGAGAACCACTGTTTGGCTAGCTAATTGGTAAAGCATTTTCAACTCAAATCATATAGAAGATTACGCGTTTTAACATGTAAGAAGTTGGACGGTTTGTGTCTGAGGGGAACGGGGGGGGGATGTTGGAATGGTGGAGGGGGGCATTATTATTGTTCTCGTGCACCATGGATAAATCATAATGACTCAGTCACTTCTATAGACATTCAGCACTGGACTGTCTTTATTCAATTTCTTCTAATTCTAGATTTAATATTCTTTCACATATACTGTAATCAAGCGTAATATAGTGTAATATGTTCTGCTCGTTCGGAAACAAAGTAATATTACTGAATCAACACTATGCGCAGCTTATGATTTTCTGCAGCACGCGGTTTTCTTGTCTGTTGTCTGTCAACTCCCCCCTCCCCACCCACACCGTAGTTAATAATATTAACCCTCCTATTAACTATGCCCACACACAAGCCCTTTTTATCTCCTCCTCCAGCCGCATTATTCAACTGCCAAACGGCCTGAAGAGTCATGGGATAGATTAACACTTATAGAACAACGGTGTAGCTTTCCGTCTGCGGCACTTGATCCAGGACGCAAGACGGAAGGTTTGTTACTTGGCACTACACAGCTACTACACTGATTCGCGATGATTCAAAAGAAACTTCTTGCAATTCTTACTCTGCAAATTGTGCTACTGAATATCTATGGTAGGTTTGCCAGTATTTTAACAACTTCACAGCCAATGATTTAGCATTTGACTCGGTGATTATGAACAAATTAAAAGAATCGAATGAATTTTCTTTATACTAAACGATATGTCTAGGGAGTTGTCGATCTGAGAAAATCGTCATAATACTGTGAGATCTTACAATAAACTCGTAAGACCAGAACCAATATAGCTTTCAGTCTGATTTGAAGAGATGTTTCAAAGCAATTTTTCCAGTCAAAAGGAAATTCTTTTCATTATCGAAAAACGTCGTATTAGTATGTCTCGAAAGGTTTTCCTATTAAGGAAAAAAAACACAAAAAAAAAACGTAAAATTATTTTCGTCCATCAAAAAACTTTGCAATAAGGTATCTCTCGAAAGTTTTTTCCATTCAATAAAATAGTAAGATTTCTTAGTGGCTTGAATAGGTTTCTTAATTTTCAAAGTCACTCCTTCCTCCTGATGACATTTTAGTCAAATTTTCATTGTCTGATGAAACTTATGCTTAATGTAATACAGGTCTCACGTCTGGTGTAAAGACAACCTCAGGAAAGTACTGTGCCTTTCCGTTCACTTACAAGGGTGTGGTTTACAAGAGCTGTACTACGAAGGATCATAATCGTCCCTGGTGTTCAACAACAGCCATATACAGTGGAAAGTGGGGAAACTGTGCGGGTATGTAAAG